CACTACAACCACTATTAACTACTATGATAATAATAATTCTTGATTAAAAAATCAACAATAAATATTATAATTATTTTTAAAATTTGTTATTCATATATTTAATTTTATCACAATTTGTCTTAAATTAATTTTTAATTATTAATTATTAATACACTTTATTCTCTAAAGTTCAATCTTCACTTCAATGAAACCAAATCTTATTTCAACATATACATGTGCTAGTTTGGAGGTGAAATCTACGGTAAACCATTGCATCATATGGTGCACGGGTGGACCAAGAAATAAAAATATAGTTTTCATATGGTTTACTGGTGGAGAAGTAAAAAATACAGTTAGATATATAAAAAAAATTAAATTGAATGGCTCAAATTTATTTGATGATAAATTTTTTATTAATATATTAATTTTATTTTCTAGAAACCAATGACCATTTTGTACAAAAAACAAACCTAAACTCCACTTAGTTATCCCAACCCTCCCTTCCACTTCTCCACCACCACCGTCATCACCCCCTTCCACTCCTTTGTCGACTCTAACAACTGATGTCAGAAGTTGTCGCGAAGAGCACTTAACTTGTTTCTCCAATTGGCGAGGGATCCCCTCCAGCCGAAAGAACTGATTTCTAAGATCCTTCGTAGGGTTCCGGTGAGATCCCTTTTATAATTCCACTATGTTTGCAAAGCATGGAAAACCCTAATCTCCCACCCCCAGTTTGCAAAGGACCACCTTCGCACCTCAATTGCCAATCCAACCATGGCCAACCAATGATTAGTCTCAACCCTAATCGATCGCAAGAAATCATATCTTGCTTAGTTCAATCACTCTTCCAAAACCCCTCAACCCTAATCAAACCCCATTGCTTCACCATTAATCACGATTATCTCATCCTAGGTTCTTGTAATAGAATACTATATTTGTTAGATGTTCACCAAAGTTATGTTAGATTGTTGAACCCTTATCATCGTGTACTCGCACAGACCAGTCCACCCTCCCCACTCCACCTTTGACACTGCTACACACCTTCTTCATAGTTGCTCCTCTCTCATCGAAACCCAACCAGATCAAACTCTTGAAGCCCTAATCTGCTTCCTCAAATCCACCTCGTTTGCACCAAGTTTTATGGTGTTGATGACGATTGGAAGGTGGCCATCCTTGATGAGTGGGTATGCGGCGAGTGCGTTGTTGTCGGAGTGAAGGACAAACGATGAGCGTTAAGTCCAAATAGCTTCTAAAAAAATGACTTTTTAGTAATTTTAAATATTTTAAATAAATAAATAAATAAGCTAGTGTTCACTTGTGCACTAGTGAACAATGCACAAGTGAACAATATGATAAACTTATCCATTATAGTCATCACCTATTTTGGCACCTTGGAATTCCAAAATAGTTTGGTTTGAATATTACATATACTCAAATATACAAATGGAACTTTTTTATTTTTTTATTTTTTATAATTAATCATGGTTTGTTTAATAGTTTTTATATCTTCTAAAAAAAATAAACAAAATTGTTATTTAAAAAAATCGATACCATTAAAATTAATGATAAAAAAAATATTAGTTTCATTTATTTATAATTTTTTATATATGTGTACAAAAAATCATTAAATTCAATGAAAAATAGAAGTTGAAGTAATATAAAAAAATTATAAATTTAAATTTTATTGTTGTCATTAATACTTGAATTGATAAAAAATGTTTAAAACAGAAAATTGGTACAATTATGATCAATTTCTATTTATATTAATACAATGCTTGATCTATTTTAAAAAATTACGTGAATTATGTTCATATAAAATCATGGACAGATCTATATGGAATACAATGGGGGCACTTGCCCCATTACTATTTTACAATTTTATATATAACATATATACTTTATTATCCAAAAATAATAGTATATTTTAAAAAATAAATGTTATATTCTAATAAAATAAAATTATATATGTTTAAATTATCGTATATATAAAACTTAAGTTTGGGAGAGATGTTCATTTATTTGATATTTATCAAACTTTTGAAAGAGATTAATTTTTTAAAATAGATCAAGCATATATATATATATATATATATTAATGGTCACATATACAATATAATATATTAAAAAAATCAATTTTCGATAAAATAAAATTTGTAGCATACATATTTATCTTTTGTATTTTTTTATTTATTGTATACATTGATTAAAAAAATAAAATAGTAAAGGTTACAAGATTTATGTTATGTTTAGAATTTTTATTATAAAATATGTTTTTAAATAAATTATCACCTAAAAGTATATATTAGATATTAAAAATATGTTTATATAATAAATAAATTAAATTTGATTTTTTAATAAAATTTAACATATTTATTTTTATTAGTATTAAATTATTATAAAGTAGGTCTTTAGAATTGTAGTTCTAACTAAACATTAAAAAAATTATCTATAATAGATAAATAAGTTACATTTAGAACATGTATTTTTAGCGAAAATTATATTCAAACCTACAAAATTATAATATAATAAAATCTGACTTATTTCTAGTTATAATTATAAATGAAAAAAACTTATAAAAATAATTATAATATATATTTATATTTTTAAAATTGATATATAAAATTTTTCATACTACAAATGAATGACCCACTATCTAAAATATCTCAATCAAATAAACAAAAAAAAAAAAAAAAACAGTGACCACACTGCATGCAACTCATCTTCAATCAGTCCAATAAGACTGGTTGAGTTTTAACAACTATGCTATACTATTGTCTACAAATTGATCATACGTTTTTATTTCGTTAGTGGATGTTACATGTGTATAAAAAATTTCGACTTTATTCTGTTGAGGGTTGAAAATTCTCTCTCTTTTTGTGAATACCATTGTTTTAAGCATGGCCATTTCATTTTGTATGTCTTTCTTTTGTGCTTGCATGGAGCCACATGCTTCCCAGAAAAGTATGTTTGGGCAGTGCCAAAAAGGTATCTTTAGATATTTTAAAATTAAAAGTAACTTTATGGCGGCTGTACGCTACATGGAAAAAGAATCTTTTTACCTTTTACATTTTAAGAATAATGGATCACGATTTCAAAACTAACTATGAATGCTGCTGTCGCAATCTAAGGTTTCATTGCTAGTTAGACTATGTTTGGTTATATATCAGCATCTTCTGATTTAAGTTATTTGATCTTTAATGTAGTGCTTAGTTTTACTAGATTTAGGGTATGTTTGGGTCATTTCCACATATTTCAATGCACTTAAAAAAAATATGAATATAAGTGGATTGAATTAAACCTAAGTTTGAGTATTAGAAATGTTAAAATAAATATATACTTAATATCCGTGCAATGGGATTTAAATTTTTGTTATCAATAAATATTAAAGTATTAATAAGTGTAACGTTATCAATTTATAAAATTATTGTCTTAAGTTTGTTATGTTGAAGTTTATGTTTTTTGAAAATAAGTAAAGCAACCTTTTATCTCAAGAGTTTGATGGTTGTTTAGTTAGTTATTGATTATTAATTTTGTAGAAAATTAAAATTTTATTATTAATCCAATCAATACATACATAAATTAAAAGTAACATATTTGTAAACATAATAATTCATATCTTTATGAAGACTTCCTCACACACAATATTTCTAGTAGTGTAAATTCCTTGAATTTTTATTTAGTGATTACATATTTGTATTCTTAAATATAAAAATCCTTTATATACAAATTTCAATGAATCACATTAAAAAAAATACATATTCCACAAAAACGAACAGAAAAAAGAGTGAATCAGATTCTGCAGCATGTAGGTCCATGCTACCGACGATATATATTAAAAAAAATGTAACTTTTATATTAAATATATAATTTCTTTATAACATTATGTGAAAAATAGACTCTAGTATGTTGTTCATGATACCCACAATAAATATTAAAAAAAATGTGAATTTTATATTATATGTTTAGAAAACTTCTTATATAAGGAAAAACAAACACAAATTTATTTTGTTCAATAATTTATATTTTACATCAAATTTTAACGATCTAATCATTGAATTTAAAATTCTTAATATATAAATTAAGTTTATAAATTTTTAAAAAATTTAAAAATTATTTAATATTTTATTTGATTAATTCAAATTAATCTATAAAATAATTTTATAATTATTTATTAATTTAAATTAATAAAATAAAGTATGAAATAATTTTCAAATAGAAATGTCAAAACTCTAATCACATGAAATAGAAATGTCAAAACTCAACGAACGATGGCCTGCCATTCAGGACCGGACTGGGCTAAAGAAAAAGTGATTAAAAAAAAAATTAGACCTACTTGTGAAGGTCCGGGTCAATTAGGCCAAACGAAACCGATAATTTGTAAACTCGAAACCTAATTTATTTTTTAAAATTTAAATAAAAATATAAAATAAAATGAACCAATTAAGTCCGACCCAATAAGTCAACAACTCAAACTAAATCGAACCAATCTAATTACATTCATTAGTCCGTACCAAATAATTCAGTCTAACGTGACCTTTCCTATCTATTTAATACCTCTACATACAAACATGGTGCACCCAAGCATGTTTCTACTATTATAGAATAAAACAAAATTTTCATTTTATCTCATTTCTTTCATATTGGGGATAAAGGTAAATAATGAAATGAGATGGAATAGGTTTCCTTCCTGGTTTCCATTGAATTCCATCCTCATTTTATTAATCCAAACAATGGAACAAATACCATTTATTCTCATACACCGAAAAAAAAAAAAACCATTTATTCTTTTCCCACCATTCTATTTAAGTTCTTCAAATAGTGGAGATAATTTTTTTAAAGGAAAAATTAATGATAATCATCGTCATATATATATATATATATATATATATATATATATATATATATCAAAATATATATAAATGTCTAAAATAATTATTAATGAATGCAATATATAAAATTTGGACCTACAAAAAGACAATATTTTAAACATATACTAATAATTTAATTAAAATTAGGATTTATTCACTTCTATTATAATATAATAGGTCTGTCATTTGCTGATAGATAAATAAAAAAAAATAGTTGGAAACCTTCTAATAACATTCATGGATATTGTTATGAAGAAAAGTGCAGAGTAATCTGCTGGTAAACATTCATTCAAGTGATTTAATCACACTCATAAAGTCATCATGACTTACCTGGTGATCCCAGACATTAGGTGTCATTGGTGTAACTACACCTATAGCACAGGTTTTGGTACTTAACCTTTGGTAGTGGCATTATTTTCAACATGGGCATGCACCAACACACGTGTCATCAAAATATCCATGTTCATGCACTAGTACCTTTCTATAGGTTATGCCTCATATTTTGTCTTCCCCTTCTTTTTCATTGACATAGGAAATAAATGATCGAAGACGAGTAGAGTTTGATGAGCCCTCAAGGTTAGTATTTGAGTGTCTGCTAAAACGGTAGGCCATTCTTGTAACATAGCAAAGGAGAGCAATGAAGCATGCTGCACCACTCAGTAGGAACAGACCCCAAAAGCTTTTTAACTCAAGTCTGTCAATGCTTTCTTTTGCACCCTGTGAGCTGCAAGCTCTTCTTGTTAGCCATTTGTCGTGAATTCTCTGAAGGTCACCATTCTCTGATAGTTTTAGGATCGCAGTGGACATGTCAATTGCTAAGGGAGAGTCCTTTGGGAAGGCCTGTAATTTATAATTAAAACATGTTCAAACTTCAAACTACTTGGCTGGCAACAATATATGATGATCATACATACATAACAGCATGAATTTGGGACTTTTAAGAGGATAGAGATAGACACTTAGCAGTGTGTGGGGTTCACACGGTTCTAATGGATATAGTGTGTGGTTCCACTAGGCAAGTAGATCTGTATTGGGATTTCTTGTGAAAGTCTTCGAGGGAGAAATATTCTTTATGCATCGGAATAACAATGATGGATCAGAGTCTGAACTTATGATCACGTGCTTACTACTTCATAAACACATTTAGGATTATAAAATAGATCTATAGCCTATTTGGATAAACCTCTCCACAAATACATTTAGGAGAAGAAAATAAGAAGTGACTTGTTTGAAATAAACTTTTTTACTAGTTAAAATTAGTTTATGCATAATCAGGTGAAATGAATATTCTCTGGCTATGTTAAACTTTCTTTTGAACATGTGAGAGAGAGATAATGAGTTATGAGAAATTGAAATATAGTCATGTTTCGATACAAACTTAGAAGGAGTTTAAAAAGTTTTTCAACCAAAAAATACTCTTTAAATTTAGTGGAGAAACTTCCAAAAACTCTTATAGATTGTATCCAAACATGCTCTATGAAGTATACGGAAAGGATTATGCATATCTTTATAAACAACCACTTATCTTAATACTTTGCATGATGCATGTGGCATATGTGAAGTTGAGTTTCGCAGAAGAGAAATGGATTTATACTTACAAATCCCCATCCGTTCTTAGTGAACTCTCGACCAATAATACTAAATTCACATCTAGTTGATAGGAAGAGTTCCATGTATGGACGCTCATCTATTATTGCAGCAACACCACCACTAGCTGGTCCATCCTTCAAGGCCTTTTCATACTCTGATATGGAGGTTAGAGGAACAAGCCTTGACTTGTGTATGTTTAGCTCATCAGTCAGATAATTTTCAGAAAACGCATCCCTTTGGAAACCAATGCGTTCGTTGCTTGTTACTAAGCTTTCAATTCCCTTAACTGGGGAAGAGAGCTGTTCCACGGTTAGTATGGAGGTCAAGCTTGCAGTATAGCTTGAGTTCAGTATCAATACCACAAACAGCCATATGATAAGCACAAAACGACCAAGGGTGCTCACAGTTTTCTCTCCTGCATAGTATAGAGGTTACAAAAAAGTGTATTTTTATTGATTTAAAATGTAATACAATTACAAGCATCTATAGCTGTAATGAATAACAACATCAGAGGATAGTCTTGGAAAACGACCAAGGGTGCTCACAGTTTTCTCTTCTGCATAGTATAGAGGTTACAAAAAAGTGTATTTTTATTGATCTAAAATGTAATACAATTACAAGCATCTATAGCAGTAATGAATAACAACAACAAGGTGTGAATTGTCTTTTACTTATATATTCTTTATTTGCCTAATCTCTAGTCGATATAAGATTAAAGTTTTTTCCCGGTATATATCTTCATGCCAGGTACTATTTGGCTTGATGCATTGATAAATGGTAGGTAGCCATTTTTAACGATATAGGATAGATGAGACTTGAGTTTCTCCAAATAAATAGAGTGAAGTTAAAAAATTGAATTACAAAAGTCTGTTACACAAAGCTAGCTAAGTATGATATGTAACAAAATGCAAAAACAGATGGCAGTAGAGATACGCTACTGTTATGAATTTGTTCCAACACAGAAGGGGTTTTTGTTAGATGTAAGACTAGAATATACAACTAAGTAAAAAAAATACATAAAGTGATAAAGGTAATAAAAAGAGAATACAAAGAGGCAACACATAAAAGTACTAAACCTTAAGTGGAGTACACAATAATGAAGGGTAAAGTAATTATGTAACAGTATTAAAACATTTATGAACGGGATTATGAATTGGATTCTGGCGGTCCATCTTGACAATAACTAGAATTTCTTAACAAGGTAAAATGAGTTTTTTATTCCCACTTTTAAGGTGGAAAAGTCAACTGTGCTAGAAAATGTGTTGGATGTAAAATCATTCATGTGCTTCCACATAATAGCATAAAGCTTGTAGGTTTATTGGTTCTCTAGAGTTTGTTAAAAATCGAGTTTTTGTTCAGTACATTAACATGAGGAAAGCAGAAAGGATAACTAGTTAAAGGAATTATCCAACCACTTACTCTGTGCAAAATATAGGGTTGAGAAGCTAAACCTGCATAGATAAATGATTAAGATGTCAGCAATTGATAAAGTATGCAAGTGATCATATGATGAACGAATCAAAGAAGTTAATTAAGACCACGTTTAAAAATTGTTTTGCCACTTAATTACCAGATAATGGTGACTAATTGTCTTCTGGCAGGGCCTCTAAAGTCATCATTTATGCGACGCTCTAAAATCCACACCACAGCTCCCACCACCAAGAAAAACATTCCTGTCACAAACCACATGATTGGAGCGAATGGTGTGAGGAAAGCCCAAGCACTAGATTTCAACTTCTTGATAGGTGCCACAACAACTAGCCCAGACTCAACATATGGCTGTGTAAAATCCACTATCTTAGCTCGGTTTGTAGTAATGGTAATGTCCCCCACCACAGCATCAAAGGCCTACGCTAAATAGAAGCAATTTCAACGCAAGAATTCAAAACTAACAAAGCAACATGATACAAAAAATGAAGATAGATAATGACAACTTAGATACTCACACCATTTGTCATCAAATGAAGAAGTTCTAAACTTGACGGGTTGATTTTACCATTACCATATGGAATAAACTTGAATGGAACCGGATAAGGCAACAAGTTTAGAGCAGCAGTAAACACATCTATGCAATAACCACCAAACATGTCAGTTCCCTCAATTCTCGACACAAACTCACGAAAATTAACTTCAAGTGGCACCCCAATTCTCAATTGTCTTCCATTGGTGCCAAAAGTCCAACCACGTGGGGTTTGAGTTGTTTGACCAGGCCAAATGACACCATATAGTCCTTCACTAGAATTGGAATGATTAGGAGCTTCACCAGTGTGGAGACCAGAGGTTTCAGACCAATAACCAATCCTCCTAATTCCAGTTCCTATCACATTAATTATTTCATATGCTGGATGCATTAAATTTCCATTTGAGTCAAACAACATTTGGCCTGTTAAACCAGTTGTGTTGACCTCTAAAATTTTTTTAAGCAACATGCTACCATTAACAAACACCCCCATAGCATCTAGGAGAAGGGTGTCCCCCTTTAACATGTTTGAACTTGAATCATTTGAAAATGATAAATTTCCTCCATCCTTTAAAATTGCGTCAAGTGCATGAGCAAGTACCCAGACAGTGTCATATGCGTATAAACCGAAGATATTTAACCCAAAAGGATCATGATTAGGATCTTCTTTTTGGGTCAGTTTTTTCCACCTAGAAATAAATGTTTTTTTGATGTTTGAATCTGGTGTATGAATGCGCAAGGTGATAACACCTTGGATGTCATTCATGGCTGGAGAAGTGGACAATGATGGATCTGAATCTAGCACTGTAGAAAGCCAATCTGTGGCTATCCACACATAACCACTTGTCATCATGCCAAGTGATTGAGCCACATGAAGTAATTCTAGACCAAAAGTAGAGTATATGTGAAGAATTATTACCCGTGATTCTATTAAAGCTACCTTAACTAATTCACTGTTTATTTCTTCTCGGGTTATGTTATTTGGCCTAAAGGGTACTTTATATGATATTTTACAACGTTTCTCTGTTAGCTTATCCCCTAAGGCAGCTACCCCATTTCTTCCATGATCATCATCAACGTATATGGCTATAACATCTCTCCATTGAAAGTGATCAACAATTTCTGCCACAGCAGTCATCTGATACAAATCACTATGTGTTGTTCTAACAAAATATGGGAACTGCAGTGAAGTCAGTGTAGGGTCTGTTGCTGCAAATGAAAGTAGAGGCACTTGAATCTCATTTGCAATATGTGAAATCACATGAGCCATGACCGAGAACTGTGGACCAATTATGGCCACAGTATCATTCTCCATTAATCTTAATGCTGTAATAAAAAATAACAAGTTAGTAACTAAGAAATATCAAATATGTTTCTGTGGGAAAACGTGCGAAAGAGTGAAGTGGGAAAGTGTGATATGTTTGCAAGGACATACAAGCCATGATTCCTAGGAATCCAGTGGATAATTTGGTGTCCAGTATTGAAATATTAAGCTTAGTTCCATTCAGAATCATGGCGTCGGAGTTTATATCATCCACTGCAGCTTGTATGGCAACTTTAGCCACTCTTCCAATTGTAGAGTTGAAAGATAAAATTGCCCCAATGTTAACGGAACTTGGTCTTGTAGAAACATTGCTGCTTCCTTTTGAGGAAAAGCCACCGTAGAGGATCACAAGGACAAGGAACCAAACTTTGTTCATGTTGTATTTTCCTGCGAACATAACAAGGGAAAAGAACACAAAAGTCCTAGTAACATGTTTACATGCTATTGTACACGTGAAAGAAGAAGAAAGAAAAGAAAACACATGAAATATCCTTGCTGGGATATGTAATTTTAGTAACCCATCTCACCAATTTTTGTCTGTGGTAAGCTTTGAATGAATTGGAAGAACACAAATGTGTCTCTTTACACGTTCCCTGAAATAACTAGTTGTTGTCTACTTATTTATGCATGAGTGTGAGATCGTGTTCCCAAGTGAGGCATGGCATGAATCCTCTTATAGCAAATGGGTCATGCATGATGTGTTTGGTGCTATGAAATCTTCCGCTTGTCCTCAACAATGCAACTCCTTTTGTAAGAGTAATATTGATCACAATTTTAATTTTTGTCATTAAGGGAAAAAGGAGAATACCGAATAATTGAATATAGACATAATATTAATAAATATAAAGCACATTTTTATTGCTGCATTTTTACATTTTACGTGAAATCATTTCAATATTTGATACAACCCATGCAAAAAGGGATGTACCCACACGTGTACGAAGAGCACCCAGCTGGATAAAAGATTTCGTTACTTAATATTCATTGGATAAGACAGTTATCATTAGTTTATCCTTTTATCAATTAAGTAGTTGCAGTAGATATGATTAGATTTTGTTATCATTAGTTATTTCTTTTAGTTTATAAATAAGAATGTAATTCTTTGAATGAGGAATGGAAAAGAGTTTATTTCCCAATTACTTGTTTGCAAGTCTGGAGTTTCTAAGCTGACTCGAAAAGCTTAACAATATTCTTTTGATAAATGTATAATAGCTTATATTTATTTATGGGTTTGTATCAAGATGATCGCCCGAAACTAGTTTATTCATTTCAAGACATAAAATCCAATTAAATGAGTTTTGAATCTTCCAAAAAAAAAAAATCTTCTCAATTCTCATTTATAATCAGGAATCTAACTACTAGCAATTAATATACTTATGGATCTAATGTCTAATTATAAAACCATTAAAAAAATGATGAATTGAAATAATACAACTGTTACAAAAAACAAAGAACCAACTAGAATAATCTAATAATTAAATAAGGAATATAGAAAGAAAAAAAACATTTGGAGCAGAGAATGTGACTACATTATAAAGTTGCAATTTATACTGTTATTGTATATTATATATATATATATATATATATATATATATATGTATATATATAAAAGCTAACAATAAATATAAGTCACAATATTATCAATTATGAATAGGAAGTTGCTACGGTACACTCAAAAATCGAGGGATTTCAGTACATTTTTATATGTAAATTCATAAAAAATTTAAAAAAATTAATTTAATTATAAAATGAATAATCTAAATTATACTTATAAAATAAAAAGTAAGATAAAATTATAGAAATTAAAATTATAAGATTTCAATAATATTATAAAATATTAAAAAAAGAAAAAATTAATAAATAGTAGAAATAAAAAATTATTAAAATTACAATATAAAAAACAAAAAATATACTTAAAAAATTATTAAAATTAAAATATAAAAATTCATATATATATATATATATATATATTATTTTAGGATTCTTGTACATATACCCAACTCTCCACACCATACCGATTCAATCGGTTATTAAGCCTAATCTTATATTATTAGGTGTTGAGCAATAAAATACATGTAATGGTGTGTTGTAAATTATTATTTATTTAATTATATTATTTAATTGATGATGTGTTGTTTTAGTATTTTAAAATTCTAAGAATAAAGAAATTCTTATAATTTTAGTTGTTGAGAATTATTTCATGTTGAAGTCAAAGTTGACTATGTTTAAAAGAAAGTATATAAGATTTTTTTAAGATTAGAATTTTATAAGTTCATTTTTTTTAAAATTCTAGAGAATGGTTTTCAAGAGATAGGCTCTAGAACAATAGAAGACTATTCTTCCTTTTAACTTCATGAAAGCCCCCTATCCTTCCCCAAAGCATAGATTGGGGTAGCAAATTTGGGATTTGAGGTTTGAGAGTTGAGAATCGAAGGTTCGAAGTTGTCGAACAGTAAGAGCTCGGGGTGTCTTGTTTTTCCTTCTTTTCCTCATCTATGGGAGAATCGAGGTAAGATAAGCTTGTAGATTAACCTTTGTTGTGTTGTATGTGTCATTTATGCATTGATTTAGCCATTGGGTGCTTTGATGTTGAATTTGAGAATAGAAAAGATTGATGTTCAAGGTTTCCTTGTTGTTCATGGTGGGATGGAAGGGAAATTTATTCTTTGAATTCTAGAGTGGTTGCATGTTGATTTCCTTGTTGAATCTAATTTGTTATGACGTATATGTGTTGCTTTTGAAGATTGTATGTTGTTTGGTATGGATGGAAGGATTGAAATTGTTGATAATGGTTGAATTGTTTAAGTTGATAAACTTTGTTCTTGAGTTGTGTTTTTTTGCATTGATGTGTTCGCTTAAAACAAGAACTTACTCGCTAAAGCGAGTTGGTGAGACCATTTCAAAGGTACTCTTTGACTTGGCTCACTTGGAGTACTCGTTTGTTACTTTAAGTAAATCTTTTCCGCTTAAAGCGATAACTTACTCACTTAAGCGAGTTGATCACACCTTTCAGGAGTGCTCTCGGACTGAGCTCGCTAAGAGCAAGCTATGGTTGCTTAGAGAAAATTTTGTTCGCTTAGAGTGTGCTCTTCATGGCTTGGAGTGACTGTCTCTTTGAGACTTGTTGCTTCTAAGCTATGTTCTCTCTATGTGTAGGGTTATGTTATAAATGCATAAGGCATATTGTTGCATAGTGTTGTGTTGTGATGTACATGTGGTATGTTGTTGTGTTGTGAGGCACACGAGGTATGTTATCGTGTTGAGTTATGTTGATATGATGCATGATGCATGATGTTGAACTGTATTATTAACTTAGAACTAAAGGAGAGGTGTTGTTTTAAAAGTTGAAATATCTCATTATGTGGATATGTATTGTGGAGCTCTAAGAGTCCAATTATTGAAAAACTCTTCTTAAGTATTGTTATCTCTTGAAGTGGAGTGTTGATTCTCCTTTGAGTCCTTAGTTGATATTGTATGGGGGCCAAGTTGAGGCATACTAGTTTAGACACATTGAGTAAGGTATGAAGTTAAGGGGTAAAATCCGTAATTGATTATTGGAAAATTATGTGGTATCGTGAGGATAAGCGGAGGGCTATTCCCATATATATGTGACATGGTTAATGCATGCCAATGTCATAGAGGCCCGCACCCAAGCCATGTTATACCTGACGATGGGTTATGAACTTTTTTAGTGTAAGTGACAAAATTCAAGAAATCGTGTTGTATTATACATTGATATCCAAATTTTTTGTTGATCTAGTAAAAAAAAAAGACCATGTTGTAGTTAGTTCGATAGGGTCAAACCACTTAAATAAGGATGACAAATAAACTTGTACCTATGAGTAACACCCAAACTCGCCTCAACTTTAACGAGGAATACCTAGTTTAACTAGGTACGGATAATACCTGATTTATTAAACTAGGGATGGGGATGGATATATACTCACCCACCTTATACCCGTCATTGTCCATACTTGCTTTAAATTTCTAGAAATTTAATTCAATTTTTTAGAATTCACTTGAGATTTATGTAATTTTTACTCTATTTTAAATTTATGTCAGATGAAATTTAATTAATGTAATTTTGTAATTACTACTTTGTGTTAGAATTCTTATTTTTTTATAATTTTTTTACAGAAAAATTATTTAATTAATTTCGTGGAAGGAACAGGTATGCCTAATACTTGATGAAGATGGAGATGGGACACAACAAATTCTACACTCGTCAAGTATGAGAACAAGGATGAATATAGGATATGAACTCAAGGACAAGGATGGAGATATTGAAACAAGTATGGGAACGAGGATGAATATAGGATACGAACTCAAGGAGGAGGATAGGGATATTGAAACCCACACTTGCTCCGCCCTATTGTCATCCCTAACTTATATTGCTGACTTGTGTTATAAGAGATCTCTTTGTTAAAATGCGTGACAACACATAAAGTAATTGTGTTAATGAGTTGTGTTGTTAAGTTATGTTGTTCATATGCTAAGTTGATATGATGATGTGTTGTACAATTATGTTGTAAGTTGAAAAGTTGTTAAGTTTTAAAATTGTGTTGATAGGTTAACTTGTGTTGTTAAATTGAGCCTTAGGTTGTTGTCGTGTGTTAATGAAGTTGTTTGTGCAGTTAGTTTATTGATTCTATACTATGTTATTTTCTTGATTATGAGTTTACCTTTACTTTATATATATATATATTTTCGGTCTGTGATAGTCATATTATTATGAGAGTAAGGTAAAATTAGGCTTGAGGGCGATTAGGTTGAGGTGTCATACTTATGACTTTTATGTTTTACAGCCTGATAATTATATATATATATATATATATATATATATATATATGTGTGTGTGTGTGTGTGTGTGTGTGTGAACATGATTTGACTATATCCCATTGTTGGATTTTATATTTTTTAGTCATTTATTCGTTACATGATCTTAGGTTAAATTATATTTATGTTTCTTATTGTGTTGTAGCTGAGTAAGCTAGCTATAAAGTACAAAATCTTGTTGAATTATTACATCCTAAATTCAAAGGACATGGAGTCAATATTAAATGAAGTCACGATTAAAATTCTAAGGACATAGAATCACAATTGAAAGTATCACTTTATTTTTATTGGACTGATATGGTGAAAGTTACACTTTCTTGAAAAAAAATATATTAATTTTGTGTTCTTAAATAAGGATATTCTCTATACAAAAAAAGAGAGAGAGAGAATATTCTAGTGGATAAATGGACAATAAAAATCAATGAATGTATTAGAAAGAAAGTTAGAAACCAATAATATTTGGTCTGACAAAAAGGAGTTCTTTTTATTTTATTTTATTTTATTTTACCAAAAGTATTTCCTAAAATTGTCATTTTGTAGAGGATTTTATCTAATTGACACGAGGGCTTGTCTCTCAATCATATATATTACTATGTTTGGATATTGCACAAATTTTTATTAAAAATAAAAAATAAAACAAATAACTTTTTTCCTATAAACTAAATGAATATTATAACTTATGCAACCTCTATTTGTTTTTCTCAGTTTTAGTTATGCACCTTGTTTTTTTTTTTGTTTTGAGAAATAAAATAAAAATGCTTTTATTTTATAATTTTTAAATTTATTTTAGCTTCTTATTTTGTTTTTCTACAAGTGTTTTTG